TAACGGCACAAGAGTCGTTTTATAAGCGGTTACGACACTTGTGCCGTTCTTATGAACATGTTTTTGTCTTTATAACGCTACTTGTGTCGTTCTCCCTATCTTGAGTTATATGAACATTATCGTCGCTTGTGTCATACTTGTTATTAAGTTTGTCACTATAACGGTAGTTGTGTCGTTCTCTATATCTTTTCAAGATCAGTAACGACACAAGTGTCGTTCTCAATGACCTTTTCATCCTCTAAACAACACTTGTGCCATTCTTTTAGAACTTTTCATCTTAGTAACGACACAAGTATCGTTCTCAATGACCTTTCATCCTCAAGCACTAGTCTCTAAATTATGCAAGAAAACTAGATCACGTGACATAGAATATGGAGTATTGAACTAAGTTAACCCATTTACTTGTAACGACATTTGTTCCACCCTCATAGATACTTATATAAGTCCAACAACAACACTTGTATTGTTTTAATGAAAGTTTATAATTTATGCAATGTCACTTGTGCCTTTCTCATATACACTTATAAGTCCAGAAATGACACTTATGTCTTTTTTTGAGACATAATACAATAAAGGTACACGTCAATATTTAACAAAAGACAAACATATCCTACAGAAAAAATTCATCCCCTGGAATAAAGTCATCCTATTGATATGCGCATTTTCAAATGTAATCTACAACTTTTTTACATTCTTCAAAATATCAAAATTCTCAAACTCAAGTAAAAATATATATATACATTGAAACAAAATAATTTTGAGGGGTACTGTAAAACGCTAATCCTAAGCTCTAGTTACACTAGAATCATACCCCCCACCACTATAATTAACATTATTTCAACCACTACCACTGTACTAATATGTGCTTTCCCCACTCCGAGTATAAGAGTTATCACTTCTAAAATCACGACCACCAAAATGCCCACACCACGTCTACTTTTACCTCTATATGGAGCTCGACTTGTAAACCAAATCAGCCAATGGGTACCTCTTGATTGGCTTATCAAATCAGCTGGTGGCTTTGTTGATACGTGAGCAATGTAGGGAATATCAAGGCCATGACCTGCCATATCTGTCACAACCAAAATTAGCGTGTTTCCACTTTTAAACGATTTCAATGCTAGTTCTCTTTCTTGGAACAACAGGTAAATCAAAGTCAAATCAAGTAATAATCAATGTAGGCGTAATGATACAACGTTTACGCAACTAAAGAATAAAATGATTCAATAAAGTCAAGGGGAAACACAACCTTTTAAATTGCAAACTTATATACATTATTTAGTAGGTGAAGTTCCAATCTACAAATAAGAGTACTGTGGTAAAAATAGGCAAAATATAATATGAAAAAATTTTGAAATCAACAAGTGTAAAGTTTAATAATAGAACTCACATAAAATAGGAATTACAGTAAAACATAATATAAAGAATTTTCCTAAAAATGCCGAATTATTTAAATCAAATTATTCTTAATGCAACTCTCTAAGTTTCAAGGCATATCAAAGAACAAGCACATTTGCATATCACAATTTCGATTTATAGCAATGCCAGTAAATGAATTTTTTTTAACCCATCATCTTCAAAACCCCAAATGTATCAAAAATCCATTCACATTAAAAAAACTCAGCTAAAACTAAACTAAATATACAAATAAATCACGAAATCATAAAAAAAATGCAATTTTTACAAATTTTTATTATAAAACTATAATAATGGAAGCAAAAAATCACATTTTAAAATAACAAAAAAGAAAAAAGAATCGTAGAAAAAATTACCTTTTTTGTTGTCTTAACTTGTACCAAAGAGAGGGTAAAGTAATGTGAAATAAACTAGAGTCAAAGAAAAGTTTTTTGTAATATTGAAATATAGTGAAAATTAAAGTGAAGAAGATGGGTTTGGAATTCAAGTTTGGGGAATAGGGTTTCACAGGAAAAGGAAAGAAGAAAGAAGAAGGTGAAATGAAAGAAGTTGGGTGAATAATTTGATATAAATTGAAGGACAATTTTGTCATTTTATCAATTAAAACATTTTAAATTTTTTTATTCCATTTTAATGATGGTCAAAGGCTATTTGTCCAAAATCATTGTCCAAGTGGGTCATCTGGCCAAATTCCCCAAAAAAAAATCATTTCATCCACTCACCCCAACCAATTAAACCCAACAAATCAACCCATAAAAATTGCCGGCTCCTCGTCGTCCATCGCTATCGTCGCCACCACCATCACCACCAAGATTCAGAATGCAAATCCAACCACGACTTACCAGTGAACAGGAACTTTCAATAATGTTAGCAGCCTTGAAGGATGTCATATTGGCGCCGTCGCCGTCGCCACTTCCTCCATGGACGAGGCAGACAAAGGCTCCCGCCATGCCGACAGCTGTGGCCGTAATTGCTTCAGAAGTTGCTGTCTTCCAGGTATCTATTAGACTCTTTTGAACTGAAGAAGAAATGGGATTTTTTCTATAATTTGGGTTATGAATAGACTTGCATTTTGACTAAATTAGGGGCAAAGATGCCTATATATACTTTAAAGAAAGTGAACAAAATTGAAGGGGCAATAATCGATGGGCTGTTGTAATTCTTGAAGGGGCTAGTGGTGATGCTGAGGGAAGAATACCCAAAGGTTGGTAGCGTGTTCACTTTGAAATTACTGGACAGGAATATCACTTTCTTTATTGTTCCAAAGGTGAACCAATTCCACTCTTTGAATGCATGAGGAAAGGTATTGAATTTGTATACCTGGCTTTACATCACCAAACGCATATATGAATATCTGGGATAATGCATATAAATGTTATGATTTACTTACTGCAATGGACAAAATTATTCCATTCAAGGTCTCATTGTCGAATATTTGTTCAAAATCAATGGAATAATAATGAGCTAATTGTTGGACTCAATTATGAAATTAGTGGAATCAAAAGAAATTGAAAAATGAAAATTTTAATTTTTTGCCTATGTGTACGCCTAGGGTTATTTTTGTGCAATATATGTATTGGTTAAAACAGAATCAAATTTGCTTTTATCATGTGTACGCAAGATTTATACTATGCGTGTATGCACAGTGTTAAAAAGTAGCTGTTGGCTGATTTGCTAATTTGAAATTTGGGAACCGTTTTGGATTAAAAGTTGTCACTTTTCGTCATGCTTTGAGGCCATTTCGTGGTGTATTGATTGAGGCTTACAAATAGGCGATGAATAATAAATACAAACACATTAGAAACATTAAAAAAAATCTTTAGATCCACATATCATTATACATTGAATCAAACTATTGATTTATGTTCATATTCAATATCTTTCTTTGTGTTCTTAGAGTTTTGGAGGATCACCCTTGTGTTTTAGTGTTAAATTTTTTACAAGGCTTGATATAATCCTACAAATCGTTTGCCAAAACCTTCAAGCATCTAATTCAATCCAGAGAGAAGGCAAATATAGTTTGAGGACATTTATTAAGCGTTCGAGCCTTCATATTCTTCATCTTCTTGATCACATTTTTGGTTGTTTGTTTTTTCTCCATTTCTTTTAGTTGATGTAAATTTTTCAACACTCATTTGAATTGAGATTCTACAAATAACTTAGTCGTTTGGAGTTTTTTTTTTTTAAAGAAAACTGTCAATTTCTGCTAGAATTTTGAAGTGGAAATTTCGTGGGTGAACTGGATTGTTGACAGTATCAACTGGAGATGAGTTAATAGAAGAAGAAGAAGAAGAAGAAGAAGAAGAAGAAGAAGAAGGGGTGAAATTGATGTACAGTCGGTTAGAAGAAGATGAAGATAGGAAGGGTGGGGTAGCCGAATTTGCATTTTGAATTTTGGTAGCAACGACGATGGAGGTGGGCGACGGGCAGGCAACTGTTTTTCCAGATGATTTGTTGGGATTTGTGGGGTTGGGGTGTGTGGAAGAAATGAGTTTTATTTTTTAAAATTATTTTATGTATAAATCATAAAGTTTTTTTTGTTTTTTAAATTTATTTTTTAAAATTGTTTTATGTTTAAATCATAAAATTATCATTTTACCCTTATTAAATTTGGTCAAAATCAATTGTTTTTTTTCTTTTGTCATATAACTGTCAAATGGACAATTTTCATCCATTTGAATCCTAGCTGCTAATTTCTCAAAGGTTTGGAGCCTTCAGTGGTACAAATTGAAAGATAGGGTCAAGTTTGCAAAATAGTGAGTGGTTAGGGATCGTTACTGCAATTTTCCCTAAAAAATACTACCAAACGAGCACTAAGATTTACTTTCGTTTGTAAGGGCTTATATAATATGCATTAATGCTGCTAGAATACACAATAATATCCTTTAACACATCTCTTATTTATTGCATTACTAGAAACCACATGGGCTAAGCCTTAAAGTAGCAACACCGTTAAACTTTTTATAGTAATTTTTATGATATTCATAATAATTTCATGAACCCTAAACAAAAAAAGTAAGGTCCGAATGCTAATTTGCACTTAACTTTCTCAACATTGGAGAGTGGATTCAGTCTCTTGTCAATTTGGTGGATGTTGGGACCTTCGTATTTAATAGTAATTGGCACAAAACGTTTCTATCTTTCAAGTTTATTGTGGAAAACGTCCCAACCTTTCATTTTTGACATTTTTGTCCCTATCTTTTACATTTCTTTGCGCAGAAGGTCATTTTCATTTGTTTTTGACGATTTTATCCCACATTCAAATAAAACAAAAAGAAAAGAAAAGAAAAGAAATAAAGAACTAATTGCAATAATAATTCCAAATTAAAAAAAAAAATTACAAATCAATCACAATTTATTGTGAACTGAAAAATTTTAAAATTACCAAAAAAAAAAAAAAAAAAATGAAACTTGAATTTACATAGAAATAATCAAGAAATAGAGAAATTTTTGAACCATAGCCAATGAAACTGAAAATCTTAAAAAATGGGTAAACATAAATCTCAAATTTTATTTTGTGAAGAGTAGATGGAAAGCCTGAGACAAAAATCAGGTAATCTTCAAATTTTTTCACTTCCATTGGTTATGATTAAAAATTTCTTCATTTCTTGATTATTTTCCCGTACATTTAAGTTTCCTCATGACTGATTTATAATTTTTGAAAAAAATTGGGACTATGATTGCTATTCATTCTTTATTTTTTCTTTTCTTTTCTTTTCTTTTGGTTTCATTTCAATGGAGGGTAAAATCGTCTAAAGGATCTTCTGTGCAAAGAAATGTGGAAGGCAGGGGCAAAAAGGTCAAAAAATGAAAGATAGGAATGTTTTCGACACTAAACTTGAAAGATATAGACGTTTTGTGCCAACTACCCTTTACTATTATCATTTCGCACTCTTGCAAAAGCTAGAGTGCTACAGCTTGTTTCTTTTTGCTATTAGAGAAAGTACTGGCATTTGTTGAACTTGGGAGGTCATGTGTTTTAGTCCTGTTTTAGAGTAATTTTTTTGAATAAATTTTGTAAAAAGTAAGGCTGCGGTTGGTTTAGTTTTCTATTTTCCATTTTCGATTTCAAAATTTTCTTCAAAAATGCCGTGTTTTGGACATTTATAACTGAAATCGCTCAAAGCGATAAAAAACCGTTTTACTTTTTCAGTTATAAATTTTACCTCGTTTTCAAATGCGTATTTTCGAAAACGATGAACCAACCGCATTTTCGGAAACGGAAAAGGGCCCGAAAACGCCAAACAATAGCAGCCTAATTTTTTTGGAAAATGTGTTGTTAAAACGTAGGAAAAAGTTATGTGTTTACGTGTAAAATTATTATATTAGAAGAATGAATGATTTAAAATGAATTTGTGTGAAAATAAATTACTCACCCTTATCTATTATAGAAACTTACACTTGACGTCATTCCAAAGATAATACAAATTTAGACTAAAAACTATAACTTAGCCATATCATATTTTACTCCCAAAATCGACCTTCTTTTACATTGGAGGCTCACGCCTAGAGTCCTCCCACACTTTTATAAACAACTCAACCGATTTGACCGTCAGAGTACGCGCGACCAACTCCACTTTAGCTGGGGAAGGCCATGTTTCACTAACAGTTTGTCAAAGTATCTAGCAACAAGGCTCGCATGGACGTGAGAGGAATTGAAATCTGTTGAACACGTTGGAGGAGCATTTTTCGAGGTCAACATCATTCATATTTGACGCGTATAATTTATTACAATACATATGTCACCTTAACACAATCAAAAACTATGTCTAGTGAGGTGCTTATAAATATGGGTAAATGAGTGATTGAGATGTTTATAAACACATGGAAACACTTGTTCAAACATATATTAAAGAGTGCTTCCTTATCAGCAACTTCTTGGACGCAACTTTATCACATTTTGAAACACATTCTTTTTCAGTATGTTTAAAATACAGTGATCTTCTTGCTTTGCTCAATAATTTAATATGTGGACTGTCCAATACATAATTCATTTGAGTTTGTACTTTTTGTTTTTCTTCAACAAAGAAGTACTTCTAGATGTTTCATTTATCTTTTCAATTTTACTTTCAGACAAACAAGAGTTCACAATAGTTAACTTGTCCACTCAATATTGCAATTTCCTTTTTGGTAAAAACTTTTGGTTCAAATACTTGCTTGATATTGATTTTGCCCACCATTCAGCATTATGATTGAGTTCATCTAGTATTGACCAATTTTGAAACGTAATAAAAAGAATGCTCTTAGTCCCTGTTGGTAGAGATTCTTTAAAATAGACTTGTGATGATAAATTTATTCATTTATTTTTTAAAATGTGTGGGTAAAAAGTACGAAAAAGTTATAGGTCTACATACAAAATTATTTTATTGAGAGAGTGTGCGATTGAAAATGAGTTTGAAAAAAAAAAAAAAGAATATTAAAAAATGGAGATCAAACAAGATTTGTGTTAGGTTGTACTCGTCCGTACATGCAATTGGCAAAGGAAATGCACTTCAATCATACAAACCAAGAAAAATTTTACCAAGACTACTTACTAGTTGTATTGGAGTGGAAGGCATTGAGATTGCGACTGATCAACACCAAGATACATAAGTGGGAGAACTTGGACCACTTTGAAAGCATTCAAAATCATTTATAACATCTCTAGTCACGGTACTTTACGGTATAGTGTTATAAAAAATATTTCAACTTATTTCTTATTTAAATACTGTCCAATTATATCTCAACAAGTTTTTATAGTAACATTATGAGCAAGTATTTTACTTTCAAGTATTTAACTCCACCAAATTTATGTAAACTTCACTGGTCAAACCTTTTGAAAAATGTTTTAAATATCTTATTGAATTTGGTTAACTAGTAAAATATTGTCCAGTACACTTAACCAAGCGCGTCGAAAAACTTATTGTTGAAAGGTAGTGAAAAGGAAAGAAACATATCTCTTAAAGTGATTCTATAACATTTGATTAACTTAATTTAACTGATACAAAATTATTAATGTATTTTTCATTCGATATTTCTCCATTATTAGCCATGCGATTTTCTATGTGGTTTTAATATCAATCAAAATGCACTAGGAATCTCCACTTGAGGTTCCCTTAGAAAATTATTATTTGAAGACAACATATTCTCAAAGAACTCCACTGCACGGGACTCAATAATAACATTGGTTCTCAAGTTTAATAAATGATATGCCTTGCTATTTTGGACATATTCTACAAAAACGCATTTGATCCCTCTAGAACTTAACTTAATCCTTTTAAGATTCGCGTTCTTACTATAAGCAAGACACCGCCACATTTTGAAATAATCAATGTTTGGTTTTCTTTATTTTCACAATTCATATATATGAAGAGACCTAAATTTTTTAGAAAGAATTCTATTAAATATGTGACATGCACTTAATAAAGCTTCACCTCATAAGTTAGATAACAACTTAGCATTTTATAACATAACATTTATCAAGTCAACTAATGTCACGTTCTTTCTCTC